AAATAGTCTGCCATTATCAATGTTCCAATACATATTGAACATTATTATTAATATTGTTTATCTTATTCCTTTATATATTGTTTTTAACATTTTAGGAACTTTTTGTGTGAATCTTTTTATCTGTTGCTGCTGTTACACTTGAATTTCCCATCCATGGGACAATAAAGGCTGTTTATTCTATTCTAAACTATTTTATATATTAGTTTCAGGGAAAAAATAGACCATTTTGAAGATTGGAAGACATCCTCAAGTTTTAAAATGCCAACTAAAGAGCACATTCTTTTTTACGTCTGTTCTTACCAATGTCTACAAATTTCTCTTTTTTATGTAAAACAATTAGTTGGCTTGGTTTGGCAAAGTGGTCTACAAATTAAAGTATATTTACCATTTATCAACATTAAATTTCATTCACTTGTTTTTATTTTGTTTGTTGCTGTTTTTGATTTGATTTACTTCTAGCTAATTTAGCACACAGGACCACATTAAACATTACAGCTGCTTCAGCTGCAGATAATAAAAAGCTCGTTTGAATATAATTGAGTCAAACATTCTCGGATCTTAATACACAGGACAACAAAAAACACTGTTTAACACCTTTTTGTATTTAATTGTCTTCAGCTTTTATACCCCCAGCATCTTCAGTTCCATGTGAACAAGGCAGTGGGGTCTGTCTACAAACGTCCATCATCTTTACCAGCTTCATCCAATAACAACAAGATACAGTATAACCCCCCTGCTGTAAGAAGATAACAAATGATTTTTATTTCATGCCTCAAAGTTTTGATCAACAGAGATTATTTTTGATCAGGACATTTCTTTTAAGCCCCACATTAAAAACATAACCAGAACCATTTTCTTCCACCTGCGTAATATCACTTAAATTGGAAACACCTAAAAATGATGCAGAAAAACTGGTCCATGCATTTGTCACGTCTAGACTGGACTATTGCAATGTTTTATTACCTGGGTGTCCAAATATTTCTTTAAAAAGTATTCAGTTGATCCAAAATGCTGCTGCCAGAGTCTTAACTGGAGTTAGTGGGAGAGATCATATCTCTCCAGTTTTAGCTTCTCTCCATTGGCTCCCTGTCAAGTCCAGAACTGAATTCAAAGTCTTGCTTCTAACTTACAAAGTCCTCAACAACCTAGCTCCATCTTATATTATAGATCTTATTGTTCCATATTTTCCTAACAGAGCACTTCACTCTCAGCCTGCAGGCTTACATGTGGTTCCTATAAGCAGAATGGGAGGAAGATCTTTCAGTTATCAGGCTCCTCTCTTGTGGAACCAACTTCCAATCTCTGTCCGTGAGGCTGACACATGATCCAGTTTTAAGACTGGGATTAAGACTCTCCTTTTTGATAAATCCTATAGTTAGGGTTAAGCTCTGGAGGATAAATTGACCTCATTTCCTTAAATGAATTGTTACAACTGAATAGTTTTCATTTGAGTTTTCATTTTACTTCTGTCTTAACGTGATTCTCGACCGTGTATCCATACCAATTTATTTATAGAGCACTTCAAACAGCAACAAGGCCAACCAAAGTGCTGTTCAAGAGAAACAAACAAGCACAGCGGACAGGAAAACATAAAATAAAAATAAGTATCCGTTCTTTTTTCCTGTCCTCTCAAACAGAGCTGGTCAAAGCATCGATGGTCGCTTGTCCTGATGGTTCTGCTAGAGCAGACCTGGGCGTTATACGGCCCCAGGGCCACATGCGGCCCTTTGGTTGACTCTGACCGGCCCCCATAAGGAGAATTACAAAATACATATGTAAACAAATGAAGTTAACCAAATCCAGATATAGATCCTCTCTCACTGATGATGTCAGCTTTGCTTCACATCTCCACCTCAGACCTTCAACCTGACTTTAACATTTCCGTTAAAGCCCAACAGAGACTAAACTTCTCTCACTAAACAAGAAAAAAGAACTGAAAAACACCAAATGAGATGTTTAGACTACAAATGTAGGCACGTAAAGAACCGGGACTCGAAATCACAGTTCAGTGACGATCACTATTATATGATGTTTCATAATATTTGGAGTACAAAGACAATTTTGTGATACATTTACAAAGCTAAGAACTTTTTCCAGCAGTATATCAAACTCAAAATGAGTTTTGGGGTGAATGTGACTGAAAATGATCATTAATATAACGTCACAAATGGTAAAAATGTTAACAGTTTACCATTGTACTGGGAAATTTAATTGAATAAATGACTTTTTTTGTAAGGAAACCTCGCTTTTTCGTTGCTTAATCATAACAAATACTCTTACCAGCTTGTTAAAACAGTGCTATGTACTGCTTTTAATAATGAAATACTAATATTATGCAGTATTGAGTTAAGTTGAAATCAGGTCTCTCTTGTAAATGAGTCCTCGAGGCTCGATGGGATTTACCTGTCTAAATAAAGGTTGAATGAAAAAGTCATTTGTGCCAGCCCTCCACAATATTTGTTGTTTCTCATGTGGCCCCATGGAAAAAATAATTGTCCACCCCTGTGCTAGAGGCTTCTTTGTCATGAGGGAGTTTTTCCTTTCCACTGTTGCCTTTAAGCTTGCTCAAGATGAGTCTGTGATGAAGTTAAGCTCAAAGCAGTCTGCTCCTCAGATAAATAATGTTAACTTACTTTTTATGTATATGAATGTTTCTGTTCAGTGCCCTGAGATGACTTCAATTGTGACTTGGCGCCATAGAAATAAACTGAATGTGAATTGAAATTCTGTTTGGTCAGTGTGCGGTGAAATGCAGCCATGAGCCAACAGCGCCCTCTGCTGGTGGCAGTCAGCGCCGGTAAACAGCCAATGGGATTGAAGAAAAGAATGTCACTTCCGGTTTCTGAATACTGTAAATATGTCGCCAGTCATCTCGATGATTTTCACAGGTGTTCGTTTGTTTTCACTTTCCGAATGAAGAGTGCTGATTTACGACCTGCACCGGTACACACTTCGTGAAACGAAGCTCGAGGTTAGTCCGTCCAAACCCTGTAATGGTTGCTGTTTGTAGGTGATTAAAGCCGCGGTGTTAAAGCCTGGTTCCAGCTTCATTAAGCTCTCTTCGCTTGTTACACGTTAACAAATGTAAACGAACAACCGCGCAGCTTCTTTTAACCTCCATGTTGTGTAGGCACTTTAAATATCTCTTTGAGAGGGTCACTACCTGCAGACAGTTCTGCTTGCAGGCTGGTGGAAACCATCTTTAGCAGGACCAGACTCGATTCAACACATTTCAAGCAATAGTTTGTACCTTTTGTCTCTTGGACATTGTTGTGATTCACAACTTGTAGGTTTAATCGTGCAAAAAGGTCTAGAAGGTTTTTTCTTTTCATGCTTGAGCTCAGTTAGGAGAGACTAAGAATGAGAAGCTGTCACTAAGTGTGGAAGAAAATGTTAAAATTAGGGATGCACGATATCCGATATGGCGATATGTTAAAACTTATTTGGGCGATACCGATATTTTTTCCCCCTAGATGTATGTACATGCTTTCTCTGCTGTAGAATTAAAATACTACATTATTCTGCACGGTCTTTGTCAGTTTGGCCTGCTACCAGACGCAGATGCTAAAAAGTGGGCTGAAAATAATGCAACTCTATATAAATATATAATGTATATTTAAAAAAAAAAAAATAGCACCTTTTATATCAATGAGTTATTTCGATGGAATGGCTGATGTCCGATATTTAAATTTTTCCCTAATATTGGCGATACCAATACCATGCTGATAATATTATCGTGCATCCCTAGTAAAAATTAAAGGTCTAGCATCCCTTAAAGGAATGCATATCACCCACTGCTTTCCATGCCAGGATTTCAACTTAAACTAGAAAGTTCCTGGAGAAACTTTGACGGGGACTGCCTATTTATAATTCAATTATTATTAATGGTAAATATGATTAATAATTAATAACAAGTATTATTAATATATCAATAATTTATTAATTATTATAAACTATTAATATATTTGATAATAATACTGATATTAATTAGTAATATTAAATATGAAGTATTAATATTAATATTTTTATATTGTTATTTGTATTTATTAAAATCAGTCATTAATAATTCATGTTAATTATCTTTACTAATTAATAATAATGGGAGATAATAGGTGCCTTCCATGCATGTTGAACCAAAATGGCTCCCGACGTTACTCAGTTTCTTTGAAAAGTTTTCTCCTATTCATTTCCTATGGGACATTTGTCATTTTCATTAGCAAAATTTGTCGCCATGGTAACGGCAATTGCCAATAAAAGTAATAGCACACATCTCGTAGCCGGGCCAGTCGTTTTGATATAACTTTTGTGGGGGTCCACTTTGCGGTTTGGGCCGCATTAATGTAGAAAAAGATACGCTTTTCAGGTGTAGAATAATAAGTGGGCAGTCACCAACTAGTTCCTGGAGTTGGTGAAATATTGCGTCTTTGTTCGCAAATTACGTGTCCATGGTAACTTGAAATGGCAATAAAAGTAATAGCACACATCACGGGGCCGAGCCGGAAGTTTTGATCTAACTTTTGTGGGAGTAGACGCTGTGGTTTGGAACGCATTAACGGAGATGGAAATGTAGACTCACTTCCGAGGTGTAGAATAATAGGTGCGGTGCCTATTAAATTTATGTAGAGAAGGGATGGAGTTGTAGCTGTTTTGGTCATATCTTGAGAATAACGTTGTATTTAATGTTTCACAACATTATGAGATGTCACACTCAGAGGATGGGTTGTGAGTGACTACCGCATCAAGTTTTAACCCAGTGTCAGTAAAAAATGACTGAGAAATGAGTTATTGCCATTTTTGTGTTTTCATTTATCCACATGGTTCAGCTGCACATCAGTTTCACCTCCTTTTCATTACAAGAGGTTAAAGCTCACGACACCGAATAATTAATCATCAGAGCTTGTTCTGATGTCTTTTATATTAAATCACATTTTGAAGTTGTCATGGGCTGTAACAAATAAAAACAAATTCCTTCTGCATCCCGTCAGGCTCCGGACGCAGCCATGCCCATCTCCCTGCTGTGGGCGGTGGACGTGTACGGGCAGGTCTACAGCCTGTCCACGGCGGGCCAGCAGTGGGAGCGGTGTCGCGATTCCCAGATGGAGTTCAAACGGGTGACGGCAGCTCAGCAGTGCTGCTGGGGGATTGCCTGTGACAACAGCATCTACCTGAACGTCCACGCGTCAGACCTGCCTGTCCGCTACCAAGAGGAGGCCTACGAGAATCAAGTGGGTCTTTTTTAGAGTTTTTTGCCAATGTCAGTCTGCGAGCAGTAAACACCTCTTTTTGCATCCTGTCATGTTAAAATGACTAAATATCTTTATGATTTCTTTTTGTTTTTGTGCACAAATGATTCATCTAGCTGGTCATATGTCGGTCTTGACATTAAATATTCAACCAGATTTTGAGAAAGAAACGATGCATGGTGAACTGTAGAGGCTGCAGAGCTCAGGGAAAATGTTTCCGTTGTGTGATCCTTGTATTCATCCTGTGAGAACTTTACTGTGTGATTGGGTTATGCACATCTGGTCAGTACTTTGTAGTGTCTGCTCATAAGACTTCATTATAAATTATAATAAAACGTTACATTTGTCGGTTAAACATGGCAGCACACGAATCTGTCTGGATTAGTTTCATCGTATAAAGAATGGTAAATGGACTGTACGTACAGTATACAGCACCTTTCTATCTTATCAATCGACTGCTTTAACCACAGCCGCACCAGAAATAGGTGTGAAAAACAATTAGGAACAATAGCTGCTCAGGATATTTTGACTATTTTTTTACACAAAGCAGTTCCTTGACCCTTTGCCTTTTTTTATGGCACGATCAACAATTGCATCATACGACGGGGCTTTAGGGCCAAGCTAAGGAAAAATAATCATTAAAAGCCATAAAATTATGAGAATAAAGTTGAATAAAGTCTTAATGTTATGAGAATAAAGTCCAACAAGACTTTTTTTTTTTTTTTTTTTTTGCAGTTCTTGTGTTTTTTATTTTTAATTTTTATTTTTTTATGAGTCGGATATATGATGCGACCTGTCAATCAGTCCAGTAGGCGTGTCAGCAAATGACCAATCCGAAGCTAAAGGAGTCGTATTATTATCTAAACTCTGACACATAAAGCAAGTTTACTGCATTGTAGCTGTGGTAAACTGAAGAATGTTGAGCATCTTGTTAAGTTTTACTTTGGTGTTGGTTTTACAAATGAAGAGATAGTTCGTTAATCTGTCAGCACATCAACATCAGATTATTATCAGTACCAGGACTTTGAACCTGCTGACAGTAAGGTGGTACGCTCTGGTGGGCTGCAGCAGCTCTCTGCAGGTAAGGAGCATTTAGCTTCGGATTGGTCATTTGCTGACACGCCTACTGGATTGATTGACAAGTCGCGTCATGGATCCGACTCGTGGCAAAAATAAACGAGAGCTGCAAAAAATAAAGTCTCATAAGACTTTATTCTCGTACTTTTATGACTTTTTTTTCCACTTAGCGTGGCCCTAAAGCTCGGTCGTAGCATCAAGACCAAAAAAATAAATAACTAGAAAGTTCCTGGAGAAACTTTGATGGGGACTGCCTATTTATAATGAAATTATTATTAATAATAAATATTAATTTGAATGATTATTAATATTAATAATAAATACAAATTATTAATATTATTAATAAATACTTATTATTAATAGTATTAATTATTTATATATTGTTAATTTATGAATTAGTAAAATTTTAATAATTAATCAATCTTAATAATATTCACACCAATTATTAGTATTAATTTAAAATATTACTTATTATGAATAATTATAGATATTAAAACAGATAATTATTAACATTAATCATTTATAATTAATATTTATTATAAATAATACTAATTAATAATAATAACAGGTGATAATAAGTAATAATAGGTGCCTTCCATGCATGTTGAACCAAAATGGCTCCGTACGTTACTCGGTTTCTGTGAAGAGTTTTCTCCTATTCATTTCCTATGGTAAATTTGGCATCTTTATTAACAAATTATGTTGCCATGGTAACTGCGAATGCCAATAAAAGTAATTGCACACTTCCCGGAGCCGGGCCGGTCGTTTTGATATAACTTTTGTGGAGGTCCACGTTGTGGTTCGGGCCACATTAAAGTTGAAAAAGATAAACTTTTCAGATGTAGAATAATAAGTGGGCAGTCACCAACTAGTTCCTGGAATTGATGAAATATTGCGTCTTTGTTCGCAAATTACGTGTCCATGGTAACTCGAAATGTCAATAAAAGTAATAGCACACATCACGGGGCCGAGCCGGAAGTTTTGATCTAACTTTTGTGGGAGTAGACGCTGTGGTTTGGGCCGCATTAACAGAGATAGAAATGTAGACACTCTTACGAGGTGTAGAATAATAGGTGACTGTCATGCATTTGCCTGGCAGTCCCCAAAAAGAGTTCTTATTAGGGGGATAGGATCTTGTGCTTGAAGATCTTGCCATAATAAAATGTCCAGAGACGTCTTGTCTCGTAAAGCCCGTAAAGTGATGTTGCAGTCAGCAGGGTGTTGTTTGGTGAATTTAGCACTAAAGATGTCCTCTGCACTTAAATTCTTTTGTTCTTGGTCACTTGGCTCAGTCCTTGTGAGTGCAGTATCTGTTTTCTGCTGAAACCTGCAGCTGCAGGCTGGAGGTGAAGTCTGCAGCTGCAGGGTTAATTTAAAAACAGTTGGTGCTAAGTTCACCTGGTCATTTGTGGACTTTTCAAAGTAGAAAAATTAGTGAAATTCAAGTTGGAAGCTCTTGTTCATCTGTTTTGGTTGAGAGAATAAAAGTCACTCAATGTTTGCGGTGATGTGGATGTGATGGTACAAAATCAGGCTGTGCACAGAGTCAAGGCACGTTAGTTTACAATATGAACACGCTAATACGCCATATTTACATGAAAGCTTTTATGTTTTTGGCCTTCTGTCAAAATGTCTGAGTGCATCACTGAGAACTTTTTAAAATTTATTTAAGTAATATTTAAAAATGTTAGGAGTTTTGCTCTAACGTCCACATCAGTCAGATCTGTGTTTCCCAGACACAGACCAACTCAGACTCCATATGATCTCTTTGTGTTTATTGTTTGTGTGTTTATGTTTGTTGTTTGTATTGTTTGTTTATTGTTTGTGTTGTTTGTGTTTATTTGTGTATATTACCTCTTTGTGTTTTCTTCTGTAATTTTATGATGACATTTTTAAAGCTGTCTTTTGGGATTTGTTTTTAGCTGCAGTAAAAAGCATTCATTACAAATCAGTGTAAAAAAAATAGGAATAAAAATGAAGATACAAAAAATGAATTTAGGTCATTTTTATAAATAAAAAAAAAATTGTTCAAAAATATTGTAACAATTGGCTTTTGGTCTGTTTTGTATTTTTGTTTTGTCCCCTTGTGAAAGTTATCTTGTGGTCACGAACGGCTGAAGCACCGTTTTAGGTTCTGAAAGTCATCTGGTGAGATGAGCGTATTGATACACCCCTAATGTTCACACTTTCTCGATCTCTTCATTTTGAAAACTCAACAACTACCATACTTGCCCCGTACACGTCGCACTGCCATATAAGTCGCATCTATTAAGCGTCACCGCTGATGCGTCACGTTTGTTACGCGTCACCGCTAACAACCTGGAAATGTGGGCCGAACCCGGAAATGCGGGCCTGTGTTGTGCCCAAAATCAACTGGCTACCAAATGGCGGGAGCGTGCACTGGAGGACTTTTAGAAGAATTTAACAAGATTAACACTTAAAAACAATTATTTGTTTGCTCGAAATTATAGCGAAGGTGTGTCTCAGTTGAACTTTTCCTTAATAAATGCACTTTGACTGTCAAATCAGCTGCATTTCACCGGTGCGGCGCATCAAAATGCATCTGATTTGACGTTTGCTCCAGGAGTTCCAGAACGAGACGAAGGTGGCCTCTATGGCAAGCCAAGTGTCTCATTAATAGCCACTTTTACCTATTAATGAGACACTTGGCTTGCCATATTACTCGCGCGCCCTCTAGTGGCTGAAAATGGTAGTGTTCAATATTTTCCATGTCAGAATGAATGAAATCATCAGATCTCTGCCAAAAATTGGGTTATAAATATGAGGAAAAAACATATATTAGTCACTTTGGTGTATATGTTGCAGACATGCTAATTTATGCTAAAAGGTGTGGCTTATACAGCGAAAACTACGGTAGACTGATGTGTGTTTAGGAAGCCAATAAAACCACTGCAGCGTAGACGCCCGTCTCCTCCTGAACTCACAGCTCCAGTCTAAAGCCGTGTCCATCACCGTGGTTCTTACTTATTGATCGTGTATTAGAACATTTCCGCCTGTTTTCTGTCAGAGATGGAATCCAGTCGACGGTTTCTCAGATCGTTTGCTGCCAAGCGACCGTTGGCAGTGGAGTGACGTCACAGGTCTGCAGCACCAGCTTCTGGACAGCGTCCAGCTCCCTTCCAGCAGCTGGGAGTGGGAGGGAGACTGGTATGTGGATGAAAACTTTGAGGGAGAACCCACAGAGAAAGGAGTGAGTGTTTAGTGCTTTTTTCTTGCACCTCCTTACTTTGGCAGAGGGTTTTCTTCTTTTTCCTCCTGCCTTGAACCAGTGGATCAAGTGTTTGTCTCGGCAGGGGTGGACCTATGCCATGCATTTTCCCGCCACCTACACCAAAGACAAGAAGTGGAACTCCTGTGTCCGTCGTAGGCGATGGCTCCGCTACAGGAGGTACAGCGCTATGGAGACCTGGGCGAAGGTGTGCAACCTCACTCCACATTTTCTGTCGTGAATGCTTTAATTAAACCCGTCAGCTTGTGTTAACTTTCTGTGTTTTTGACAGATCCCCTCACAGCAGACGACTCTCCCAGATCCTTTCAGCGACATCAGCTGTGGAGGCTGGGAGATCAGTGAGGAGCCCAGGGGTCGTCAGTCCTTATGGGCTGTGTCCCTGCAGGGAAAGGTACAGCTCACAAATGCATGGACGCACACTTCCACAGCTCCAGGTCATTTCATACCTCAGAGAAGTTGTACTTTGGAGGTTTGGTCACCACTTAGCCATACTTTTTGGGTACAAAATGAAGCCACCTGCCCAACAAGCTTCGCCCATTTTGTACCTGCCTCAACCCACTTTATGCCCAATTTATTCACTTCATACTCGCCTTGGCAGCTGCAACAGCCTGATGACTGAATTTACTGTAGTCCATTTTTGAAAAGAAGACGAGCAGATTTGATAAATTTTATTGTTACTGTCACCATCAGTGGGGTCAGACATGGACACTCGAGGCTGCAGTCCCGCTTTTTCTTTATTTCGTACAAGCAGCATCTGCTCCAGCACATGTGCATTGTTGAGTCTGTGTGGAGAAGTTTCTCTTTTTGATGTAGGAGGAACAAATATAAGCAAAATGGATTATTGTGACATGACAGCTACAGTATATTCATTCATTGTTTGACACTTTATGCGCAGCGACTGAGCACACGAGGCAGGTAACTATCACAGCGTGTAAGAACTTTACTGTTTTAACAAGAGGTCTTCATCATTAATAAATCTTTAAAAGAAAAGCCCTTTGCAGTGACGGTCTATAATAATATTAAGTGTGAAATAAAGTACAGCTGGGTCCTCGGCCTATAATGACATGTGCAAAGTCTTTCAGGAACATGGGAAAATATGTGAAGTTAGTGCATCGATGCAAAATGGTAACCATTTTGTACCCTATTTGCAAGAAATGTCAATAACTGTACACAGACTGGTCTAAGAGGGTAGGGGGTACGATCTGGTGGAGGTACGAATTGACCCCACTTATTTACATCCAGCACCACCTTATTTGAGCTTTTCACAGTACAGTAGTCCCTCGCTTCGTCGGATTCGCTCTATTGCGGTTTTCAAAATAAGTTTGGACATGACACACAGTTGGCTGACTGATGGATGAGCCGCACAATCGGCATGGAATTTTTATTTAATGTCAAGTATTTTATATTATTTAGCACCTCATGCACCTTTGTGCAGCCCACACTGCAGGATAAACTTCCTGCTGCAGCTGATCAGCTGATCTCCGTGCAGAGCGGAGAAGTGGGCGTGGCCAAGAGTGCTTGCAGGTGGCTGAGAGCAGACGAGGCAGGGAGCTGGAATCATGACGTTCTTTTAGAGCGTTTAGAGTTTAGATACATTGTTTAGAATATTGCAAGAGTGTGGGAAGGGTTTAAAACACCTTCATATATACAGTATGTATATAAATAATAAAATAAACTACTACTTGTACTACTATTCCTACTTCACAGTTTTTCACTTATCGCGGGTCTTCAGGGTACAGATCCCCCGCGATAAACAAGGGACTACTGTACATCTACTTCATGTCTATGCATAAATAAAGTGGCAACAATTGTGTTATACTGTTCTTTTGTTGCACACTGTGGCACATTTTCTTGTATTCTGCAACACACACACACACACACACACACACACACACACATACACACTTTCAGTCTGACAGGTTGTCATGGGGAAAAAAAGATATTCCCAATTAATCAGGTGTAGACTTCATCAGATATATTCAAAAGCTTTGGAGAACAGCTAACAACTCAGAAGATCAATGCATTTACAAGTACACACTTATCAATGCCTTCACCTGTCTGAGGTTCTGACCCGTTCTCCTTTCTCAAACTGAAAAGGTTAGTTTTGTAGAGAACTGGTCAGGGGCATACCCCTCCCCTTCACCTTGTCCTGGTGCTTTCAGAACCGAACCCACCGCTTCACACAGTGGAGGTAAACATTCCTCAAGCATTCTTACGAGGAATAATCTGTGTCTACCATAACATTTAAAAGTCTCCAACGAGATAAAGATGACCTCTCCTCTATCTCCTTACAAATAGTCACATCAAGAATGATTGTAATGTAGAAAAAGGATCATGGAAACATTTAAAAGTATTTACAATAACTGTAAAGAAGCAGAAACAGTTTTAAAGTCTATATTAATAAAAAAAGAATAGAGCATGTTTCATGCATATATACACATTCCCTTGATAAGGTAAACTGATCTATATTTTTTTGCTTTGGGAAGTTTTTTTCCTCATTTGTTTTGCTGTCCCCCTGTATTAGAGTCTTAACTGGAGTTAGTGGGAGAGATCATATCTCTCCAGTTTTAGTTTCTCTCCATTGGCTCCCTGTCAAGTCCAGGATTGAATTCAAAATCTTACTTCTAACCTACAAAGCTCTCAACAACCTAGCTCCATCTTACATTACAGATCTCATTGTTCCATATTTTCCTAACAGAGCACTTCACTCTCAGACTGCAGGTTTACTTGTGGTTCCTAGAGTTTCCAAGAGCAGAATGGGAGGAAGATCTTTCAGTTATCAGGCTCCTCTCTTGTGGAACCAACTTCCAGTTTCTGTCCATGAGGCTGACACATTGTTCAGTTTTAAAACTGGGATTAAGATTTTCCTTTTTGATAAATCCTATATTTAGTTGGCTTGTTATGCTGCTATAGACTTAGACTACTGGAGGACAAATTTACCTCATTTCTTCAAATGAATACTTACAAATGCCTACATGTGAATAATTTTCATTTGATACTATTTCTATCTTAAATGGGCAGCACGATGGCACAACTGGTAGAGCTGCTGCCTCTCAGCGAGCAGGTCCCTGGTTCAAATCCCGGTCTGGGGGCCTTTTTGGGTGGAGTTTGCATGTTCTCTCCGTGCATGCGTGGGTTTTCTCCGGGTGCTCCAGTTTCCTCCCACAGACCAAAAACATGCATGTTAGACTGATTGGTAACTCTAAATTGTCTCTAGGTGAGAGTGAGAGAGTGAATGGTTGTTTGTCTCTATGTGTCCCTGTGATGGACTGGAGACATGTCCAGGGTGTCCCCCGTCTCTCGCACAGTGATGGCTGAACATGGGCACCAGCGACCCCCGCGACCCAAAATAGAAGAAGCTGGTAAAAGATAATGATGGATGGATCTATCTTAACGTAATTCTTGACCTGCCATTGTGTATCTATTCCTACTTCCTGTTCCTCTCAAACTCAGCCGGTCTAAGCAGATGGCCGCTTCTCCTGAGTCTGGTTCTGCTGGAGGTTTCATCCTTTTTCCTTTGTTGCCTTCATGCTTGCTCCAGATGAGAGTCTGCAATGAAGTTAGATTCAAAGCAGTTTGCTCCTCAGATTATGTTAAATTATTATTTTTATATATGAACGTTTCTGTTCAGTGCCCTGAGACGACTTCTGTTGTGACTTGGTGCTTTATAAATAAACTGAATTGAATTGATTATCCACCACTGTTTTTGTCTCCACTAGGTGCGGTTCAGAGAGGGAATCAGTCACCACAATCCTGAGGGCTCATCATGGGAGGAGGTCTCCCTCCCTGGAGAGGTGGTCCAGATCAGCTGTGGCCCAGGGGACCTGGTCTGGGCCGTGCTGTGGGAGGGGCAGCTCATTGTGAGGGAGGGCATCAGCCGAGACTGCCCCCAAGGTAAACACAGGCATGTCAGCGGGTGTAAGGTGCGGGTGATTGTGTGTAGTTTGTAAAATAAAAAGTATTTTCTGTGACGCAGGCTCCTCCTGGGTGGTGGTGGAGTCTCCCAACCCTGAGGTGGGGGCTACACATGTAGCTGTGGGGGCTAATGTTGCCTGGGCTGTGACCAAGGACAATAAAGTGAGAAAATGATACATGCTTGGAATTAGTAATGAGAATGAATGTTTTTTGTTGCTATTTTAGGAGGTTTTATCAAGATGATTTGTTTAAAATTATGTGAATCTGTGCGATTATACCAGCACACGAGGAAGCTGCTAGGAGACAATTCTGATTATCCATTTATTGTGTGTGTGTTTCTAAATCGTTCACACTATTGAGATCCATTTTTCTTCCTTGTGTTTTTCCACACTTAACTCCTTCCGCAGTTTTGTTGCCATCTCAACAGTTCATGTATCAAAAGGTTCAGCTCGTTCAGGACATTCCTGCTACGACTTTTGGCACTTATGCGGTTTTTTACTTTAAAAATATTTAGCTTTCTCAATTGGAAATGAGTGGAACTCCTCACATCCTTTGAAGTTTTTGTGCTGTTTTAAACTTTTTACTGCTCATTTCAGCTTCTATTCTGCTTCAGCTGTTTTCCAGCTTGCTGCTAACTTCAGCTTTTGTCTTTTTTTTTCAGCTTCTTTTTTTGCCAATTTCTTTTTTTTATGCTCCTTTCAGCTTCTTTCTGCTTCAGCTTTTTCTGCCTTTTCTGCTACTTTTTAGGTATTCTGTTAATTTGATCCTTTTCCAACTTTTTCTTTATTACCATAATATCTGCCTTTGGTGATTCTTTTGAATAATTTCCACTTTTTATCCTCTTAGTCTCTTTTATCTTTCCCACTACCTTTTAAATTTTGTATTTTTGGCCAACTTCAGCAGTTTCTGCATATTTCAGTTTCTTTTTTTGGTCAGTTCAGATTTTTTTTTAGTCTTTTCTGCTTCTCTTCCTGTTGGGGTTTATTCTGCTCATTTCTTTTTTATACACACATTTATCCTGCACATTTCTGCCATTTTTCTGCTGCTTCCTACTTTTATTTTCCTGCTTTCTGCAAATGTCAACTGTTCAAGTTCAACTCACATTAATTTTTAGTGATGAAAACCTTTCAGCCTTTTTTCTTCTGCATTTATCACTTAGAGTAGACTTTTTTATTTTTAACATAACTGGACAAAACTCCACAACAAGACGTGATTCTGACAAAAAAAGTCACAATTTTGCAGCTTCTTTTAGATTTTTTCTAAGGCTGGAGAAAACAGACCATTACTAGAAGGAAGACTGTTAATGAACTGTTTTGGATGATTGTTTTTAATGTTTACAAGTCTTTTTATTCCCCAAGAGTTTGGTTAATCTGAGTTTCTATATCAGGGCTATTCAACTAAATTGCTCAGGGGGCCACAGTTACTGAAAGCCAAGAGCTCAGGGGCCGGTCATCCAGCAGTTATTGTCACTAATTTAGTTTGTTTTACGGTTTAAAATCTAGTTTTATTTAAAAATGAACCCATTGGTGGGCCGAACTGAGCTCACCAGTGGGCCTGAGTTAGCCCCTGGGCCACCAGTTGAATAGCCCTGGTCTATGCTATCATAAGAAGACAACTTTAAAAAAAAGAAACATTTTGCGTCGTTCCACAGTAAAGAAAAAAGATGAAATATTTTCACGTTTTATTTTGGACTAACTTGTTTTACCAACACCATCTGCCTTAGCAAAGAGGAAGAGACTCCTTCGGTCCAAGTGCAGCCACATTTGTTTTACTGTGGTGTTTGAGCATGTGGATGCATGCTGGGATATTTCCAGATGTCAGATAAACCTGCCTCCTCACTCTCCTGCTGTTTTAGGTGTGGTTCAGGCGCGGCGTGAACTCTCACAACCCCTGTGGTTCTGGTTGGATCAGCATGGTTGGGGAAATGATCACGATCAACGTTGGACTGAATGACCAGGTACAATCTGGTGTGATGGCAGCAGACGTGTGTTTAACTTGAAAGAAATGGAAGAAAGATGTTTCAACCATTAGAGATGTTCAGGTTATTTAGGACCTTTGTGTTGTGTTTAGGTGTGGGCTATTGGTTGTGAGGACAGGGTTGTGTACTTCAGACAAGGTGTGACCCCCAACGAGCTGAGCGGTAAAACCTGGAAAGCCATCAGCGTTCCTCGAGATGGAGAGCGATCCCACTCCAGCGCCAGTGCAAACAGCGAGCAGAGGTGAATAGACTCTTGTCAACCCAAGACCTCGATTGTCTTTGAGTGTGGAGATACAAGAAGCACTCATCGCTTCATTGCAAATGACTACCGTTCAGTGAAGTTGTCTTTTCTTTCATCAACAGCGCTGGTTGTTTTTTTTCCGGTGAGGTGCACGATCAGTCCGGAGTGAGTGATGTGGAATCAGATGTAGAGAAAGGATCAGCTGATGGAGACTTTGGCCTCATAACCGCCCCAGAATCCTCAGTAGACGCTGCCAGTAACCCTTCATCTGACCCATCAGTTGAGACTCCCAGTCCTCGCATCCCCAAGGTCACAAGTGACAGCTTCATCTCTGAACTCGTCTCCGATCGGAAGACCTCGAGGAACGTTGACTCAGCCAGTCCTGCCGTGTTGCAGGAGGAGGAAGCCATACCCGTTGAAGGAGATGTTAAAGCCCCCTCTGCTGGTGCAGCAGTTTCTTCGAACCAGAATGGTGGCGCTCCTGATCTCCGCTGGAGTAACGTGGATCTGGAGGAGACGCAGGCTCAGAGTGTTCAAACTGCAGCTGGGCGGGACATGGCTGACTCCTGCAGCTTGTCATCTGTAACCACCTACACCCTCAACATGGAGGACCCGTACGGGGCAGATGAACATCCTCTGTGGGCGTGGGTCAGTGGTGGAGGTTGTTCTGTGGACAGTCACAGTCAACTCAACTGGTTCATCTGCCATTTGAACACTTCATGTAAGTTCAGTGGGGTACAGTCTTCAGTTTTGTTGTCTCTTACCCTCGGCTTTTCATTTTGATTGTTTAATTGGAATTGATGTCACTTGTGTCGAGCAATCTTCAAACCATACCGGAGATTCTGGGCTTTGCCTGGACCATATTCCAGGACATATAAGGGTTTCTCCTTTAACCAGGGGAGTGTTGCTTCAGCAGAGTGTTTAGGGTCATCGTTCTGCTGGAGGGTGGACCTTTCATCTCAAATCTCTGCAAGGCCCGACGAGTTTTCCTAAAGATTTTCTCCATATTTTTGCTCTGTCCATCATCCTTTAACTCAGTTTCCCAGTCTTTGCTGATTAAAAAAAAACGTCCCTGCCTGCCTGCATGATGATGCTGCCACCACCATGCTTCACTGTGAGGATGGTGTTCCCAACGTTTTGAGAAAATACAAATTCGTGCACCATTTTCCATATTTATTAAAATTGTTTAAAACCATATTTTTTCCACTTTTAACTTCATTAACCTGAAGGATTGTGTATTCAATAGATCCATTACTAACTGGGGACTGCCTAGTATAAGGCAGCACCTATTATTATCCACCTGACAAGGGTTTCTTAACTTTATATCTTACTCTTCCGTCAACTTTAATGTCACCCGAACTGCAATGTGCACCCCCACAATTGTTATATCAAAGTGACCGGCTCGACGCCGTGATGTGTGCTGTTACTTTTATTGGCGTTTCGAGTTACCGTGGCGATGTATTATGCTAACAAAGAAGCCATTTGTCTCATTCAAAATGCCTGACAGAACTCAACAGCTCCTAACGTCTATAACTCAGTCATTCTTTTAGATACTGAGCTGAACTTTGCTCTGGTCGTAGCTGAGAGCGAGTTTTCATACATTCCTAATGCAAATCAAAAATCCAAGATGGCCGCCTGAACCAAATAGGGAAAATACAATAAATCAGTTAGTTTTAGGGCTTTTGAGCTAAAATTGTGTTTGGTGATAGCTGAAACCATTCCCCATCACATACTGAATCTAAAAAAAAAAAAAATCCAAGATGGCCACCATAAGTGCTTCTCAATTATTTTCTGTTACACCCCCAACCCCCCCCACCCCAGGAAGAAGAAAACATTTTGCACCCCCCAGCTCTCCGCTGCAATTGTAAATAGATCAATTTACAATGTAGAATAACTTTATTAACATTGTTTTCTAGTCTGTAACAGAAACTAATTAAAGTGCATCAATTTGCCTGAAAAACAAACAAACTTCAATCCTTATGTAAACTGTAAACATTTTTGACCATTTGATACTGAAAAATAAAATAAATATACCGGTAATCAATAAATAATAATAAATTCAAATTGATTGGCAACATTAACTCAGGAGCACAAAATATAAAACACTTTGAACCATCTGATACTGAAAAATAAAATAAAATATAATCAATAATAACAAATAATTAAATAATTAAAAATAATAATACATTCAAATTGATCCTCAACAGCAGCACAATATATAAAACAGTTTGAGCCATCTGATACTGAAAAATAAAATGAAATATAATCAATAAATAATAATAAAATAACAAGAAACTAATTAATAATAATAATAATAATAATAATAATAATAATAATAATAATAATAAATTCAAATTGATCAGCAACATTTAACTCAGGAGTGTTATATAAAACATCCAGATGCATGCTCAGTAATCCAGATAGAAAAATCTAAAAAAGTTAAGTCAGGTCTCTTTTAGATTTTATAAAACACTTTGACCTACAAAACACAAATTAATAAAACAATTTTACTGATTTAATAATATATATATATATATATATATTAATCAAAATGAGGAAATCAGGATTAATGGCTACAATGAGCACATTTTGCAGTGCACAGCTTTTCGAAGGGAAGTTTGAAGCATGATCCTGCAGCTCTCGGCTCCTGCTCAATGTTTAGCTGGAACCTGGACTTGGTCTTCAGTGCAGCAGCAGCAGAGAAGTCAGTCTCACAAAGAGAAGATGTTGCAAAAGGAAGAAGAATGCCCGTGGCCCTCTGCGAAAGAGGAAAGAGGGGGCAGGTGTCCCTCTCTCTTTGAGTTTACTCTTTGTTGCATGTGTGCTGTGAGTGACAAGCGTCCAGAGCGTCATAAAAACAGCAGCGGAGGTGTCAGAGTTATTTATTTATCGTCTCAGCAGCAGAGGGGAGTGACACGGTTCAAACATGGCTCCACAAATGACCTGGCAGCCATATTTGTTCATAACTTTATTATTAGTAAACCTGAGAGTTGACAGATACGAGCAAACAGTTGCAGGAACGCACCCTGACAAAATGAGAGTGGTGCAAAAAAACAAAACAACTACTCCCAGTGGCAAAAAAAAAAATGTTCCCTGAGGTCACACTGGCATCGACCCGGCCCCCGCCCCCCCAGGGGGGTGCGTCCCACTATTTGAGAAGGACTAGCTTAAAAGAAAAAATGACTATAGCTCGTTGATTTTTTTTGCCATATTGAGCTGATAATTGGTATAGTGGTCTCTGAGAGCGAACCCCAACACTGAGTCCTGACAAACCAAGTTTTAAATTGGCAGCAGCGTGACAGTCCCGGTCAAAGTTTCTCCAGGAACTTTCTAGTAATGAAATTAAAATTCAATTTTCAATTCCAGTTTATGAGGCGACAACGAAGAAAGAATCTCCAGGAGTGAATACTTCTACATTCCACTATATCACATTAGATATTGACACATGAAGTCTAATCTCTGTTCATAAAGATGTAATGATTCCAAACAGCAAAGCTTTGTCATGAAATGATACATTTTCTCACCTGTCGTCCTGCAGCCTTGCTTCAGTCAGTTCAGTCCATGAGTCTCTCGGTGACGCCGACTCAGACGGCAGCCTGGAGGAAACAAATCTTTGAGCAACTCAACGAAAGATCCAAGAGGGAGCTGGAGAATTTCGGACACTACGAGCAAGCTATTGAACAGGTACAAGAAGGAGTGGAGCAAATTTGAGCTTTGAAACCATAGAGAGCATTCATCCAGATCCCTTCATCTGTTGGCAGTCTGTGTGGGTGAAGAAGGGGGCCATGCAGTGGTGGAGAGACTGGAAGCCACACAAGTGGACCGACGTTCATTTTGCCTTGGAGCAGTTTTCAGGACCAGAGGGCTACAAAGATGGCATCTTGTTCATCTATTACAATTATTACGAGGAGAAGAAGGTGAGAAAAAGTGCAGTAAACATGTTTCCCCCTCCAGCAACAACTTTGGTGTTATTTTTACAGCATCTTTCAAATCTTCTCGAAATGTTACATACATGTCAGTTAGTCTACGGTCAACTCTTTCTTCTTTTTTGTTTCTGCCTTTTCTCCTTGTCATTCCTTCAGTACCTTCATGCCTTCGTCAATGAAGTGACCATCCTGGTCCCGGTGTTAAATGACAGCAAACACACGTTTGCCATCTACACTCCAGAGCGCACCAAACAGAGGTGGCCGATCAGACTGGCAGCTGCCACGGAGCTGGAAATGCATGACTGGGTGGGTGTGAAGAGAAGATTAATTTTACTCGGTGCACACAAAAACATTAACTATACTGAGAATAGGGCTGGACGATATGGCCAAACCTTTTATCACGATATATTTCTTAATTTCGGTCGATAACGATATAATTCAGATATCGATATAAACAATAGCTTCAGACAAACTGTACAAACTGTACAAATAAATTAATGTTCACCTTTTGTTTATAATTATCCTTCAAAGAAATTTGACATCACCGTCGATTAAACATAAAACTCTCAACTTTGTCAATATTAGTAGTTTTAACTTTAAACAACAACATAACCCATGCAGCAAACTTCTGCGTTTATGCCTCTCCGTCACATTTTGCAGCACACTGACTGAAACCTGCAGTTTATCGGATCTTGGATAGTAGAACCACATCCACACCACCAAATTAGTCTTTCCTCTCTTATCAATTATGTCATCTGCTCTTCTTCACTTGTGAAAGCTTGTTCAGTCACATTCTGACGGTCATGGGAGCTCATTTTGAAGCGAAAACTTGCCACGCGTTGGAGCTTAGCCTAGCCTGCTATTGCTGACTCCTTCGAGCTCTGTGTGTGGTGAACGTCACCACGCACTCACGTAGTTGTGTCACAACTTTTTCTGTCGGGTTGAAGCTGAAGCGACCGCGTCAACACGAACAGAAAAAGAAATGAGTCAGTGAAACGCTGTAATCATATTGAAATGTCGAAAATGTGCTTAAAACTCATATCAACGTTATTGAATAAAAGTATATTGTGATATATATCGATATCGAATTATTGTCCAGCCCTAACTGGGACTTTGGTCACACTTTATTTGAAGGGTGTCCAGAAGACTGACATAACATCTGTCATAAACATGACATAACATCTGTCATAAAAATAACATAGCATCTGTCATAAACATGACATAGCATCTGTCATAAATATGACATAGCATCTGTCATAAACATGACATAACATCTGTCATAAACA